ATATGGTGTTGGGGGAAGAAGAGAGAGGGGAGGTCAACCCCCCCCCCCCCCCCCCCGAACACAAACATCTTGACGCAAACCACCGCTATGGCGTGCGAGCTGCGCGCCTTTGTCTCTCCCTCGCACTGTGTGATCCGTGGATTGTTGAAATGATATTGGGGGAATGAGGAGAAAGCGAAAATGGCGAGGGACGAGCGGGCGAGGGATGCGAGAGAGCTGCGAGAGAAAAAAACAAGGCGATAGCGACGCGAATTCTCTAAAATCATCGCGCGAAATAACAATCTGATACCAGGAAAATGTCTGGAGGGACTGGGTACCAGTGCTTACAGCTCGAGTCTACCACTAGTTGGTGCAAAAGCGCGGAAAAAAAAGGTTGTTTTCCCCGCAGTGCAATGCAATGTCTATCAGGCTGCATAGCGTCGGCAATGCAATGTCAACTGCGATGGATGGCGGTGTCCTCACCTCCTGCCATGATGCCTCGATACGAGCCATGGCGGATCGCTGTGGCGAAGCTGAATGAAAAGCCGATCGGCTTGGCTCGAACACAGCTTTTAAAGTGAATCGTTGCAGCGTCGTTCTGGGCTAACCTTTGGAAGTATACACGAGCGATTCCCGCGTGCAAGTAAATATGCGCACACGTCACTGCATGATACTACCTTGAAGGAATCCTGTCAAGCTAATCAAATACATGATCACGTGAGTGAATGTTCGCTTGGAAGGGAGGGACAATCCCAGGAAAAAGGAATCTGTTGAGGAAAAGGGAAAATCCACGCTTGCTGTGAAAGCTTGGCTGAAATCCCGGAGGGGGAGGGTGAATTCGCGATTGTTCTCTTCTCACCCGTGTCGCGATGGTTGGTGTACAGAAGTGTACTGGTTGAGGGGGCGACTTTTCTACAGACACACGTCTCGAGCTTATTACCTCGTTATAGGGCTGATATGAGGGTATACTGGTAATCACATACATCTGAAGCATACAGAAGCCAATCCATTGCCACTAACCTCTGCTTAGACTCAGTACATCTCTTTGGAACATAGCCAGATTCTAAACAATAGCCACAGGAAAACCTCCAGGGTTACAAGGTGGTGCACGTGCACCTGACTACAAAGAGTGAAGCAAAATAGTGACCTTAGAATCATGGTTCCTATCTCTGAATCTCTTGGTTTTGAATAAACTGGGCTGGGTGTGCTGCACTGCAATTACCACAGACCTAAAGGCCAATCCCTGACGCCACTCCCTCCCAGTCCAACTTTCCCCCCAGTCCTACCACTTTCTGTATGAACCCGTATCCTTTCTGCCCCTCAGCCACTGCACCCACTCTCCCATACATGAATATTTTGCTACAGCTGTAAGCCTGTGCAGTCCCTGTTGACAAGGGGTGGCAGCAGTTTGTGTGCTGCAGGCTCACTTTACAGAAGGCTTACAGTGGAATGTAGCATCATGACATTACTGTCAATTTAGGTTTACATAACAAAGCAAAATGGAAACAGAATTGTGTCTAGTAGGTTTCCACGTTCCACTGCTCGCTCTTCTTCAATTGCTTCTTGTACTCTAGCCAGTTGATGCCTGCACAGGTAGAAATAGAGTCAGCATATGGACACAGGGAAAGTGTACTCTGCCACGCGGACAGAAAATCTGTCCGGAGAGGCCACTTACCATCCTTCTCTGCCAGGGAGGTCATGATATCATCAATACCCTTCTCCATGCCCTTGAGTCCGCACATGTAGGTGTAGGTGTTATCCTTCTTGAACAGGCTCCACAACTCGTTGGCGTACTCAGCCATGCGCGTCTGAATGTACATCTTCTCGCCCTTGGCGTTGGTCTGCTCGCGGCTGACAGCGAAGTCCAGGCGGAAGTTCTTGGGGAACTTCTCCTTCATCTTCTCAAACTCCTCGCGGTAGAGAAGAGAGCTGCTGGTCGGCACACCAAGGAACAGCCACGCGAGACCGTTGAACTGCACATCAACAAAGTCGTCGCGTCAGATTCACGGCAGGACCAGTTCCATCTGAACCCTACGTACGGCCTTATCAAAAGATACAGCAATGTTTTTCAGTTCTGGAGTATATTCGCGGAAACGCATGCTAGTGGTTCACATGGTATTAAACATTACCTTGTAGTCGTCGTGCTTCTCAAAGAACATGCGCCACAAGAAGCTGCGGAAGGGAGCAATGCCAGTACCAGTTCCAAGCTGCATGGCAGAGGAGCAAACACGAACAGCAAATACGGAACAAAAGAATGCCAGGGAATCAGCAAATGACGGGTAATGGATTTTTTTTCCATACACAGATAGGCTACAACAGTTACCAGAAGATTCGAGAGGATCGTAAAAAAACGAAAAGACGTACCATAATGATGGTGGCGTTCTGGTCGATGGGCATGAGCATCTCCTTGCCGACTGGGCCAGTCATCTTAACCTCATCCCCGGGCTTCAGGTCGCCTGCCATTGAAGTGATTCAGAGACATCAACATCTCAGTAGCCCACTTCACGCCTTGCTACAGGTCTAGACCATTTTATGTATCAGACGCTGGATAAAGACCGATGAACTGGGAAGTCGAAAATGTTACAATACGTGGAACGGTATGTAACGTACACAGGAAGTTTGAGCAGACACCCTTGACAGTCTCGCCCTTGTCGTTGACGTACACGAGGCGCTTCACGCACAGGGACACCTGAAAACAATTGTAGGGAAAAATGCACTCGCAGGGAAGTTGAGATACGATACACTTCCGTCGCTATACACAACTGCGAGGCACTTTTCATAACATGATACATAGACATAACTCCAATGACGCACCGTCTTGTAGTCACCGAAGTCACCGGGGGCACTGCTGGCAATGGAGTAAAGGCGGAGCTTCTCGGGGTTGCCCCTCTTGTCAAGACCGGGGGGAACAACGCCGATGGATTGACCTTCTCTGTAGGGGATCTTGCCTGCACAACATCCGAATCAGAGAAGACGAACATGGAAAACTGAAACATTCGAGCAGCTGATTGTGCAGCTTTGGTGGGATGCGAGGCTATAAATTTTGACCAAGCATTGTGGCATTTACGGCTCATGGCTGGTGCAACTACCGGGGACGCTCTAACGCAGACGTACCCTCAGTGCTGAACACCATGTGCCAGGTCTCGCCGGGAGCGTCATCGCCGACAATCTTGGTGTTGAGAAGGCACCGGCCAGTGTAAGGGGTCTTGGGCTTGAACAGGTTAACCTGAACACCCTCCTCGTTCTTGCGGTGCTCCTTCTTCTTGGGAGCAGCAGCAACGCTGGCGCGCACGGCGGCCTTAGTGGGCTGAGACACGCGGACAGCGGCCTTGCTCTCGAGGGAGGAAACGAGGGAGCTGCCGTTGAGGAAGCTGACCTGGTTGGCCTTCTTGCTAACGGCTCCCTGAGCCGACAGCCCGACGGCGGGGGTTGCGATCGACATGGAGGTCATGGCGGCCATTGTGGTCAAAGAGGCACTTGAATGCAAGTAACCTCGAGAATGGCAACAATGGTAATGGTCAATCAGTCTCGGATTGACCTGAAAATGGGGTATTTGATGAGGCTCCTTGAAGAGTCTCAGAAGTGAATCAGTTCAGCCAGGCAAATGGGCTAGCTGTATGGTTGGTCCTGCTTGGTCCCTGATGATGTCGCGGTTGGTTCCAGCGAATGTGAGAGAGGGGCTCAAGATTTGGCTCTGGTTCGGATTGAATGTCGAGCAGGCTCGGCAGGTTCAGCTCGACAGCTGGGCTGGAAACACGACCACACAGCAGGCTTGGGTTTCGGATGCGGTGTGCGCCTGGCTTGAACTGTTCGTAGGCGCTGGTTTGGGGATTGAGGGGTTTGGTTTGGTTGTTACCTGATACGCCACGGTGGCACTCTGCCCGAAGCTTTGGGATGATCGTAGCCGTACAACATATCGTTCCCAGATGGGGGTTCATCTGTGGTGGTGGATGACGCATGTTCGCAGGCTCGGTGGACTATGCTGTCCCCGCGTACACCGTAAGTAATCCACGGGAGATTGAACCATATCTACGTGGCAAGGCAAGTGAGTGATCCAGCCACAACCGACCTGCAAACGTGGCAGTCGGCTCCTCAGCCACTCGCGTCCCACAAACGAGGTAACCAGATCTCTTCGACAAAGTGGCTCGTGCGAGATGTCAAGGCTTTCTAACAGAGAGGTACTTCTGAGAGAAATCTGCAAGATCGCAGCCATACGCGACGTAAACAGGTGCTACAAACAACGGGAGCTAAGATTCGTTTAACGTAAACGTGTTTTCTCCACTGTTGTGTTCAAGTTCACAAGTTCTTGTACTGCTCTATCAATTTTGAGGCATGGAGTCTGGAAGAGGGTTCAACAGTACATCCAAGCTGCTTCAGGTACGACAACTGCATGTGTCAACGGTTTGGGGCACAATATATCAGTAAGCACACGTGTACAACTTACGGATGCATTAATGTAAAAAAGCAAAATGAAAACAAACCCTACGTACCTGCTTTGGAGTTGCTGCTGATTTATTCATAGCCTTTTCCGAGTACTGCTGCTGGAACATTTCCTGCAGAAGCAACAGAAATAGCGGTAAACAGCAATTTATCTCCCGAGCATGAAAATTAATAACAACCACATTTGAGTGATCAAAATGCACAACAAACGGCTGTATGTTTCCACCCACCCACCTGTCGCTCCACCCGGTGTAATGCTCTCTGCTCAAACGGAAGCTGCTCCCATGCTATAACCTGGAAGGTTCAGGAATGTTCAGCAACACAAAAAAAGAGTGTGATGGTTCAGCAGCTGCGAACATTAAAAAGAAAGAAAGAAAGAAAGAAAGAAAGAAAGAAAGAAAGAAAGAAAGAAAGAAAGAAAGAAAGAAAGAAAGAAAGAAAGAAAGAAAGAAAGAAAGAAAGAGAGTCAATGCCTTATGGAATGGCATGGTAAAGGTTGTGAGCATCAATGCGAGAATATGGCGAAATATTGCTGCCGGAAGGCTGGCCATTAACCCAATGAGGAGAAAAAATAGCCTTTATCAAGTGACCGTTGGATCAAAGGGAGAGTCTTTGAAAACTCTTACATGTGCTGCAAAGGAAGCAGCTTGTGTGGAGGACAGTAGTGGTCGCAGCAGTCTTAAGGCCTCCTTGCCACCAGCTGATCTTGCTGTTCCGCTGCTCTGCCTGCTATCCACCACTGCTCTCACCTGTTCACAGTCAGGAGGGACGTTGAAAGGGGGGAGTTGTGGGAGGAAAGAGAATGAGGGGGGAGGGAGGAAGCAAGGGAGGGGCTGGGTCAAAGGAAGAGTGTTGTGAGGTGCCTCAAAGCCACACTGCTCTGCCTGCTATCCACAACTTCCCTCAACTGTTCACAGTCAGGAGCACGTGGGGGATGTGATAAGGAAGAGAGAAAGAGGGAGGGAGAGGGTAGGTAAGAGGAAGAGTGTTATGAGGTGCCTCGAAGCCACACTGCTCTGCCCGCTATCCACCACTGCCCTCACTTGTTGACAGTCAGGAGGCACGGTGGGGTTGGGGAAAGATGTGGGCAGAAAAGGAGGGAGGTAGTGAGAGGCTAGTAATAGGACGAGGGTTATGAGGTGCCTCGAAGCCCCATTGCGCTGCCTGCTATCCACCACTGCCCTCACCTGTTCACAGTCAGGAGGGACGTTGGGGTTGGGGTATGCAAGGGAGGTAGTGAGAGGCTAGGTCAAAGGAAGAGTGTTGTGAGGTGCCTCGAAGCCCCATTGCGCTGCCTGCTATATTCCTTTTCCCTCACCAGATGGCATTGATCTCCTTGCCCAATGACCACCGTGCCCAATGATCACCCTGCCCCAAATATCACCTTAGCTAGAAGACGCGACGGCTGTTGAAAAGCAGGGCGGCGGGCCCAGGAGTGGAAGATTGCTGCTATGATCGCACGGTGATCCGTGGGGAAGCTGGGAGGAGGAGGGAGGGGAGGGGGTGGGATGAGTAAAATGAGAGGAAGAGGTAGAAGAGATGAGGGAAACAGAGAGAGAGGTGGCGTTGAGAGGCAGCGCGGCGGGCCCAGGAGGGGAAGATTGCTATGCTGGCACGGTGATCCGTGGGGACGATGGTTGATGGTGTGAGAGGTTGCGGTAGAAAGGAGAGAGAAACAGAGGGGATAAGAGGCAGGGCGGCGCTGCGGCGGGGCCAGGAGTGGAAGACTGCTGCTATACTCACAGGGCGCTTCGTGGGGAATTTGGGAGTGGGGGGTGGTCTGAGTGAAGTGAGGAGTAGAGTAGATAACTGCATGGGTGGGTATTGAGCTCAGGAGAAACTGAACAAGGGAAGGGGGATACCAGCATAGGCACATGCACACACACGCAACACCACTCTCCTGCACAGAATGCGCATGCTCAGTGAGTGAGTGAGTGGGGTAGAGGATTTTTACCTCTTGAGGAAATCGCCAGTTGGCAGCACTCCCTCACTCACTGCCTCCTCCTCCCCACCCACGCCCCTCATCTCTTCTTCCTCCTCACCTCCTTCCCCCTTTCCCCATTCCACATCCCCTTCCTCCTCTTCCTGCACCCCCTCCCCTTCCCCTACACCAATTACTACCCCAAGACCAAGATTTCGAGTTGCGACCCCTGCCCCTCGCTGCTCATTCCCTCCATCAGGGTATGACGCAGCAGGGGTGCGAGGCCGGGCAGAGGCAGGGGAGGCGACCGGGGCTGTGATGGGTGCATTGCCTTGCCAGAGGAGCAGATTTGAGGGGATTTCTTGGATGAACCGAGAGGGCTGGAGAACCTGGTGGGTTGGGGTGTACATACATGGGAAGGAGAGGGGTTATGGGTGCGTGGCCTTGCCCCAGCAGCAGATCCGAGGGGATCTCCCGGATGGACCGAGATGGCTGGAGAATCTGGTGGGGTTGGGTGTACATACATAGGAAGGACAGGGGGGAGAAGTGCTGATGCACTGGGGTGGGCTGTGATGGGTGCGTGGCCTTGCCAGAGGAGCAGATCCGAGGGGATTTCTCAGATGAACTGAGACGGCTGGAGAACCTGGTATGGTTGTGTACAGAGGGGGGAAAGAGATAGGACAAGAGGAGAGGAGAAAGGATGGTGAAAGATATGGATAGCATCTAAGCTTCAATCTATCTCAAAATCCTCATCTGCTCCTCTCAGGTGCCTCATCTGCTTCTCAGGTGCTTTTTCAGCCGCCTCACCTGCTTTTCAGGTGTTTGTCTGAGGGTCACAATGACCAATCGGTGGCGGGCAGGTGTCATGGCCACCTAGAACAGTCCTCCTGTTCCAAGAGTAGATGAGCAGGTGATATTGTGCTGCTGTTCAGGTTCTTCCTCACCCTGCCCTTCAGGTGCTTCTTCAGGTGCCTCACCTGCTTCTCAGGTGTCTGCCTGAGCGTCACGATAACCAATCGGTGGCGAGCACGTGTCATGGCCACATAGAACAGCCGCCTCTCCTCCTGTTGGCAAAGTAAAGGAGTGAGAAACACGAAGACATAAATGACATACACGAGAGAACGCAGTCTCAGAGTCATGAAGGAGAGCAGCAGCATGTGCAGTCGCGTTTGCAAAGAACAACAGTCACTAAGAAATAAAAATCGTAACTCAGAAAAGAAAGCGATTTCTCATACTGCTGCCTTTCTCCATGCCCAGTAACCCTTGGCCTGTGTGGCTAACCATTTCTGAGGCGCCTAATAGATTGTTCCCTCGCCCAGTGTCACAAGTACATTCACAGTGAAGCCCTCTCACCTCCAGGTGACTTTTGAGTCGACTCAAAAGTCACCTCGTTACTATGGCAAATTGTTCCCTCGGCCAGCGTCACACGTACATTCACTGTGACGCCCTCTCACCTCCAGTGAAGGAGGTTCTTCGTCTGATCCCTCCCCGCCCACCCTCCCCGATTTTCGAGTTTACTAAAAAACGATTATGATCTGAACCTCCAGTGTTGAACCAACTCACTCACCTCCAGTGAGAGGGTGTGTCCAAGAATTCTCAAGAACACCCTAAACCGACTCACTCACCTCCAGTGAAAGCGGTTCTTCCTCTGACCCCTCCCCGTTCGCCCTCCCCACACTCCCCCTCTCCACACTCCCACCCCTCTCCTCCTCGAATCTGTTTTGCAGCGGCGTCTCCCCCTCGTTGACGCTCACAATGAACACCGTGTGCCACTCCAGGCCCTTGGACTGGGGAGGGGGGTAGGTTAAGCAGGAGGAGGGGGTTAGGTTAAGCAGGAGGAGGGGGTTAATGGGGAAACGCGAAAGGGGATATTGAGGTAATTGGGACGAATGTGAGGTAGGCGTCTCCCCCTCACTGGCGCCCACAATGAACACCGTGTGCACTCCAGACCCTTGGACTGAGGAGAGGGGTGAGTTGAATGAGAGGAAGGGGTAATGAGGAGTGATGTTCAGGTACTGGGGAGAGTGGGAGGCGTCTCCCCCTCACTGGCGCTCACAATGAACACCGTGTGCCACTCCAGACCCTTGGACTGGGGTGAGTGAGGGGGAAGAGAAGAGAACCGAGGGAGGGGTTTACGGGGAAAGAGCTTTGGGCAAGAACCCAGAGCCAACAATTACAGCAGTGCAGCGTCCCACTCCAGGACCGTTTGGTGTGTGCGTGCTTGTTGAATAACCTGGTGGAAGGAAGAATCTCTGTTGAAACCACCTGAGGAATAACCGTCCGCCTGCCACATTCACCTGGTGCATGGTGGTGAGGGTGACCGAGTCCTCATTCTCCTTCCGCCTCACGGCGTTGTTCTGAGTCTCCCTTGTGAGAACCCTCAGAAGCAACCGTCTGTCTGTCTGTCTGTCTGCCACACATTCACCTGGTGCATGGTGGTGTGAGGGTGACCGAGTCCTCATTCTCCTTACTAATTTTGAGTCCACTCAATTCTCAATTTTCGATTTTTGAGTTGACTCGGTAACTTGTCTGTCAGCAACAGGCCCCCAATCACCTGGTGCATGGTGGTGAGCGTGACCGAATCCTCATTCTCCTTCCGCCTCACAGCGTTGTTCTGAGCCTCCCTTGCCGCTACATAGTCCAGAAAGGCCCGCAGCAGAGCAGCACAGGAGGAGGAAGAGGAGGAGGAGGAGGAGAAAAGAGAGGAGGAGGAGAAGACAGAGGGGGGAAAGCAGCTGGTGGCAGCGTCGGCAGCACAGGTGTTTCTGCAGGTGGTTTCATCGTTGGCGACTGTGTCAGGTGGTTTGGGCGTGTGGAGGGAGAGGAAGGCGCTGATGTCATCGATAAGAAATTGGCGGGCCTGGCGAGGAAAGCAGTGGGGAAACGAAGGAAAAGGAGAACGAGAAGGGTGATGGCGTTACTTGCAAGCGAAAATTTGGTGAGAAGAGGGAGAGGAAGGCACGGATGTTATTGATAAAACATTGACGGGCCTGGCGAGACGGAGGCTAAGGAAAGGGGAGGAGAAACAGAAGAAGGGTGATGGTGGTACTTGCAATAGAAAAAATATTGGGGGGATGGAGGGAGAGGAAGGTACGGATGTCATCGATAACGGATTGACAGGCCTGGCGAGACGGAGGGTAGGAAAGGAGGGGGGGAAGAGTAAGGGAAGGAAACAGAGGGTGGGGGAATGGTGCGAGACGGAGGGTAAGGAAATGGAGAGTGAGCAGGCGAATGGTGCAAGCAAGAGGAAGTTGGATGGGATCAAAAGCTGCTAGTGGAATAGAAGGTATTGAATTCACAGGCCTGAGAAGGTGGCGCAGGGAGAGAAGCAGCAGCAATCATAAAAAATGATTGCTTTTGAAACATGATGCTGTTGTGCGATAAGGGGTCCCAGAATAACGGGCTTCTGACGCAAGAAAGATGGTGGCATGGCAAAGTTGGAATCAGCTGATCAGCTGATCAGCTGGCCACCATATTATAAGTTGGATTGGAAGCAACTGTAAGAAAACCAGCTTGAGATTGGAAAGCCCAACTGTAAGAGAACGTTGGCTTGGCTGGGCTTCTACTGCAACCATTGTCTGCAGGCCAGTGCCAAGCCAATGCTAAGCTAATGCAGAGCCAGTGCTCATCAGAATTCAGGGCCACTATGTTATAAGATAGGACAAAAAACTGTGAGAGAACGTTGGCTTGGCTGGGCTTCTACTGCAACCATTGTCTGCAAGCCAGTGCCAGACCAGTGCTAAGCCCGATGCCCATCCAATGCTTATGGGGATAAGCACAAACAGTCCCACCGTGCGCATGTCATCGTGCAACAAACGATGACATGCGCACACCAGGATAATGACAGCGGAACCCACCGTGCGCATGTCATCATCCTCGTTCAGAAGCTTTCCGGAGGTTTCGCTCACTGTTGCACGCGACGAGAATGCAGCTCTCTGCGGTACGTGAATGGCAGAGGTGAGAGGGAAAAGGATCGAACAATGAGGGGAAGGGAAGAGTCAGAGAGTGAGGTCTGAGACAACAGTTGAAGCGGCTAAGACATTGACCCTATGGCAGCGAGTCGCTTGTGTGCTTTGCTTAGAGAGTGGCATAGAGTGGATGAGCGCGCCAGTTTGCTTTGCTTTGGGACGACCATAGAGTGGATGGCACATCCCTTCTCAGTAAAGTGCCACTGTGTGTGTGTGCAATGAAGAATCGCCTCGTTAGAGTGACATTGTGCTTGCTCATTTAGGAATAAGCTTGATGATGGAGTCGACAGAAGATGTTAATGACACCTACGAGGTGACATTTTAACTTACTCAGAAGTCACCTCGTTTGAGCCGACTCAGAGGTCACCTGTGTTGAGCTGACTCAGAAGTCACCTTGCTCACCTCGGGAATGAGCTTGATGATGGAGTCGACAAAAGCTGTTAATGACACCTCCTGATGGATGGATGGGTGGGGGATAGGCGGTTGGGTGACGCACGGGGGGTGATGGATGGGGGGTGATGGATGGGGGGTGATGGATGGGGGTTGATGAACGGGGGGTGATGGATGGGGGGTGATGGATGGGGGGTGATGCACAGGGGGTGAAGGACGGGGGGTGACGCACGGGGGGTGATGGATGGGTGATTTGTGGAGTGGACAAAGAGCTATGAGCTTGATGATGGAGTGGACAAAAGATGTTAATGACACCTCCTGATGGATGGATGGGTGGGTAGGTGAAGCATGGACGATGTTTGAGTCGACTCAAAAGTCTCCTCTTGGATGGGTGGGTGGGTGATGCATGGGTGGTGGGTGGGTGAGGCGACAGAGTGATGTGGATAGGTTGCGCAGCAGCATAGGCTGGGTATGATGAGCTAGAGCCTTCAGACGAGGTGACTTTTGAGTCGACTCAAAAGGCGACAGAGTGATGTGGATAGGTTGTGCAGCAGCATAGGTTGGGTATGATGAGCTAGAGCCTTCAGACGAGGTGACTTTTGAGTCGACTCAAAAGGCGACAGAGTGATGTGGATAGGTTGTGCAGCAGCATAGGTTGGGTATGATGAGCTAGAGCCTTCAGACGAGGTGACTTTTGAGTCGACTCAAAAGGCGACAGAGTGATGTGGATAGGTTGCGCAGCAGCACCGGTATAATGAGCTAGAGCCTTCAGACGGGTGCAAGTTGGAACAGCACAGCACTGACCGTTTTGAGGAGGTTGCGAGCGATGCGGATAGTGGTGAGCACAGAAGCACCGGCTCTAAGCTGCTTCCTGGGTTGGTCAGGAGGTGGACGTATGGGCACATGGAGGAACGAGGTAGTGAGGACAGATGCACCGGCTTTGAGACGTCTCAAAAGCCGGCTTTGAGACGTCTCAAAGGACGTATGGGCACATGGAGGAACGTGGTAGTGAGGACAGATGCACCGGCTTTGGGCTAATTCCTGGAATGGGCAGGAGGTGGATGCGTGGATGTATGGAGAAATGTGGAGGCAGGGTTACGGGAGGTAGGGAGAGAATGCGTGGGCAGCAGGGAGGTAGGGAGAGAATGCGTGGGCAGCAGATCTCATTTAATCTCATCTCATCTCATGTCATGTCATCTCAACCCATCCCACCCCACCCCACCCCATCCCATCCCATCCCATCCCATCCCATCCCATCCCATCCCATCCCATCCCATCCCATCCCATCCCATCCCATCCCATCCCATCCCATCCCATCCCATCCCATCCCATGCCATCCCATCCCATCCCATCCCATCCCATGCCATTCCATCCCATCCCATCCCATCCCGTCTTATCAATAATACATCCCACTCACTCACCTTGTGAACCTTCCTGACACTTTCCCTGAGAAAATAGTCTCTGCAGCTTCCAGGAAGCTGCAGCCTCGGTCCCTAGCCCTCTGCTCCACGTGATCTGCAGCCTGTTGAGGGAATGGTGGGGTGCGATGTGACGGAGGTGACACAGAGTAGGGGGGCTCAGGTGACAGTAAAGAGAGAAAAGCGAGGTGAGCTATGGTGGTGGTAAGTGGAGTGGTGCGGTGTTGGGCGGTGGGAAATTGGGCGATGACATGTTGTGGGGTGGGATGTTGGGGGTTGGGGTGTGTCAGGCAGCAAAAGAGGAGGGGGATTTAGGTGAGGTGAACGGGGAGCAGCGGTGGTTTGAGAAAGAGAGGAGTGGTGGGGCAGATCAAGATTCAAGACCTTCACTAGTTTCTCACAGCAGTGGTTGCTTTCCAGAACAGTCATAGCCAGGGCCTTCCCAGAGGTTTCATGGTATTTATATTCAGGCGCCTTCAAAAGAGCCACTGCCATCTGTTCTTGGGAACAAGGAATTCTCAAGAGCATTTCACCTTCTTTGCCTCGTCCTTTTCGCGGCTGAACAGCAGCTTCCAGACTCTCCGGGCGGCAGTGTTGTCCACTAGCGCAGGGAGGGAGAGGCGCAACAGAGCAAGCACGTTGCGCAGGGCCTGGGGAAAGGGAGAAGGAGGGGAGAATAGTGGAGGGGCGAAAGGAAGCACACTTGTTATCGGAGGTGAATGCCTGTCCAGGAATTCGTGCTTAGGGTATAGGGAGAGGCCCAGCAGAGACAGCACATTGCTCAGGCCTGAGGATGTGCAGAGTGAGGGAGGGCAGAGGGAAGGGCACTTGAGCTTGCTGTCTGTTTTTGGCATACAAGTGCTTCAAACCATGGCAGTGGATCTGAAACGCACCTTCTTCCGGTAGAACGCCACGCCATGCACGTTGTAGGGGATCCTCCTCTCTCTCATCACACCCTGCCCTCTCTCTCATCACACCCTGCCCTCTCTCTCATCACACCCTGCCCTCTCTCTCATCACACCCTGCCCTCTCTCTCATCACACCCTGCCCTCTCTCTCATCACACCCTGCCCTGCAACAGCCGGCCTATTCCAGGGCCTGCCTGTGCTTGTTCTATATGCCTTGCAAACGCATCTCACCTTCTTCCTGTAAAACGCCACGCCATGCACGTTAAAGGGGATCTTCCTCTCCCTCATCGCGGCCTGAAACGCCCTGCCAGTCACCTGCCGCCGGTACAGCACTGCCACATCGCTCCACGCCAGGGGGACACCTGCTGCAGTCCCTGTTGCACTGCTCCCTGTTGCACTGCTCCCTGCTGCTGCGTTATCTGCTGCTGCGTTCCCTGCTGCAGTGCTGCTGCCGCTGGCACTGGTGTTGGTAGTGACGCCGGTGGTTATGGTCGTAGCTGCAGTAGTGGTGTGCGGTTGTACGCGGTGCATTTGGTTCATGAAGGACATGATGGCATCGGCGACCAGCGCACACTGTGCGGCTTCGTTTCGCACCTCCACCACCCTGCCATGTGGAGAGAAGGGAGGAGGGAATAACACCACACAGCCATGGAACATGTTTGAAGAAGTGTTTTGAGACGTCTCAAAACACTTCTTCAAACATGTGGAGAGAAGGGAGGAGGGAATAACACCACACAGCCATGGAACACGGTGAAATTGGTGCATTTGATACACGAGGGAAGTGGTTGCATCGGCGACCAGCGCAGCGCTGCTTCGTTGCGCACCTCCACCACCCTGCCATGTGGAAGGGGAAGGGAGAAGGGATTGATGGCTGAACGCGGTGCATTTGGTGCATGAAAGGCATGATAGCATCAGCGACTAGGGAGCACGCTTCGTTTCGGACCTCCACCACCCTGCCATGCACAGACGGACATGGATGGGTAGCAAACGGAGGGACGAGGGATGACAAGAACTACGAGCATATGAGTCCTATGGCCACCGCTTTTCCCTTCTTGAATATCGATTTGTGAACAGTACAACCCCTTTAAAAAACATCCTTACCCAATGCAAATGCCCTTTTCAGTGTCAACGGGAGTTGTATGTTGGCCCCGTCCACGCCTGGGCGGAGCCGACTTCGTGGTCGGGTGTAGGGTGCAGCCGACCTGCAGCAGTGGGCGAGTTGGTCGACGAGGTTAGTCGACCTGCACGGGGAGCCACTGCATGGGCGCCGACTTCAGGAGGGCGCCAACTTCGTCTGGTCGACCCGGGACGCCGACCAGACCTTCTGGTCGACCTGGGACGTCGACCAGACCATCCTGGTCGACCTGGGAAGTCGACCAGCCCTTCTGGTCGACCAGGAGTGACGTCGACTTGGAGCTGGTCGACCAGGGAGTAGTGGTCGACCTGAGGAGGTCGACTTGGGGTGGTCGTCGACTTGGGAGGTCGACGGGCACGTGCAAGAGCTGCTGGTCGACGTGGTTGCCCGGTCGACCAGGTTACCTGGGTGACGAAGTGCTGCGGAGAAGTGCGACGGTCGCCCAGGCAAAGGTGGCGAGCACGACCACGGTGGTGGTATCCCGAGGTCGTCGTGGCGGACCAGAGGCAGTCGTCAGCTCGAGGTTGACGTGGAGTGTGCGCTGTGCAGGTGACGGGACTCTGCACGCCAATCAGCTACGCACACCTGCGAGGCGGGTGCACTGCTGTCCTGCGTGAGCAACGCTGGCACGCCGTCAACCTGCGACGTTGGCACGCCGTCGACCTTGCCTTGCTGGAGTGCGGTCGACCAAGTCGTGCTGGAACGCGGTCGACCAAGCTGCGCTGGCAGTTGGCCGACCTGAATGCTTGCTCTGACGTATTCATGCTATGCCAACTTCATTGTACCAATTGTTCTAAACTTTTCCTAGTGAAGCTCTTGCCAACTTTCCCCGTGAACTAGCAAGTAGTGTGTGCACAAGGAAAACGACTAAGGAACAGAGAACGCAGAGATCACACGAGCACACGTGCCTAGCCCGTAGCCTAGCTCCCGTTGCTGTAGTTATCTCCGCATGGTGCGGTGAGCGTGGACGGCACACCACTTACCTTTCAGTCAAGTCGACGTAGATACCACTTACCTATTGTGTAGTTACAGGCCGGCGACTGTGCAGTAGTCACTATGGTAGGTGACGCGGGGGTGGTGGACACCCTGGAGGCACGGTTGGAGAACGCGAGGAGGAAGCATGAGGCCAACGAGTATGGCGACTTGCCCTGGGCGGTCGTCGAGGCTGGACTCCGCTCAACGTGGGCGACGGAGCACCCGTCTCGACCCGCCTCTCCTCGTCCTGTGAACAACGAAGGCGGCGTCGACGTAGGCGTCAACGCCGGTGGCGGTCAAGTCGGCAGCAGTGCTGGAGGCACGTCGAGGCAAAGAGGTGTGATACACGCCGGTGGAGTCGGCGGCGTTCAGACGCGAGGGATGCAGTCTTCGGCGGCTGCAGGCTCCTCGCATGGCGACGCTGGTGGGCGTCGAAGTGGACTGTCGCCGATGTCGGCGACCCAGGTGACGGCGGGCGGAATTGCGCCGAGCTACGGCTACTACAAGTTTACGCCGGACAGGATCTCGGTCACCCCTCCGCTGGTCGGTCGACCCGACATTCTCACCTGGAAGGAAGCCATCGAGCCCCAGCTGGAGATGGCCGGGCTGATCGGCTTCGCCCGAGGGACCGTGGCGACGCCGGGGGAGCACCACCCCGACCTGCGTGCGGAGTTTCGCGCCGTACAGCTGTTGACCTTCACGGTCATCTCGCGGTGCTGCTCGCCGGGCGTGCAGATCGCGTTGAAGTGGTGCCGGGAATACATCGACGCTGGCCACCGGGCGTGGCACTTCATCGAGTCGACGTACCAGGTCACCGACGACCTGTTCATCGCCCAGCTGGAGGGACAACTGACGCACCTGCGTATGGGTGACGAGGAGAGTGCGGCCGACTACTGCAACCGAGCCAGGCGAATTCTCGCCACCATCAGGATGGCCGGAGCGCAGTACTCCACGGCGTCGTATATCACCCATGTCATGCAGGGTCTCTCTAGCAGCTACAACCTGCTGAAACGGCTGTCTATGGCGCCGAGCACAAGGGCGACGCTCAACGAGGACAACTTGACCTCGTATATCCTGCAGGACGAGGCGATGCAGGAGGCTGAGCGGTCGCAGGAGCTCTTGGCACAGGCCAACTTGGTCACCTCAGCGAAGCAAGGAGGTCGACCGGGGCAGCGCGGGCAATCCGGCGGTGGCGGTAGCAGTGGCTGGAAACCGGCCAAGGAGGTCGACAAGAGGAAGTCGACCAAGGACAGCGGTCGTGGAGGAGGAGGTCGACGTCGGGAGTGCTGGCTGTGCGGCGATCCCGATCATCTCTCCTTCGAGTGTCCCAACCGCAGCGACTCCGACAACGACGATGCTAAGGGAGGCCGTGGGAGGTCTGGCAGCCGTCGTCCTCATCGTGGAGGCAACCAACCGCGCAAGGAGAAGCAGTCGACCAAGACATCGACCTCGGCGAAGGACGCCGACTCCGTTGCAGGCGGCAAGGGGCGAGACGACAAAACGGCGTCGTGCTCGCTGGTCGGCGTCGTGGAGCCGACCATCTCTCTGGCGCCGGAGGCCGGAGAGGACTTCCAAGCGGTGGCGGCAGCTGTGCAGGCGAACCCGGCGGTGGTCCTGCTCGACAGTGGTTGCTCCCACCACCTGATGGGGACGAAGGAAGCCTTCGTCGACTTGCAGCCGAGTGGAGCCATCAGGCATGTGCGCGGCTTCAATGGGGCGCTGCAGGATGTCCAGGGCTGCGGCACCATCGCCCTGCAAGGAGAGGCCGGGAAGGAGGTGCTCATCCCCGACGTGTTGTACGTCCCGGGTGTGCGAGCCAACCTGCTGTCGGCCGGCCAGCTGAAGGAGCATGGTGTGAAGCTGCAGGAGGACGGAGACGGCATGCTGCTCGTATCGGCAGCAGGGGAGGTGCTCGGGCGAGCGACGTACTCTGGGCGAGTCCTCTGCACCGACCTGCGTCCCTGCGCGACGAGGTCGACGCCGCCCATGACGGAGGTGGTGGCTCTGCGGGCGATCGTCCCGAAGGCGAAGTCGACGCCGGACCGGATGCATGCGAGGCTTGCGCACGTCGGCATGGACACCATACGGAGCTCGGCGAAGAACGAGGTCGCCATTGGGCTGGACCTCAAGTCGGCGACGGACGCCGACTCCCCGTGTGTCTCGTGCGTTGGTGGGAAACTGGCGCGGCACACCTTCCCCGACCAAGGCTCCGACGCCGACGACGTGCTGGCCGTCGTGCACATCGACCTGTGCGGGCCGTTTCGTGTGGCTGCCAAGGACGGCAGCCTGTACTTCTTGCTGCTGAAGGACCGCAAGACCCGCTACGTGTGGGTGAAGCCGGTCGCCAAGAAGTCCGATGCGTTGCAGGCGTTCGTACAGTGGCTGGCGGTGGCTGAGCGGCAGACGAAGAAGTCGGTGTTGATGCTGCGCTCAGACCGGGGAGGGGAGTTCCTCGGGAAGCAGTTCACCGACTTCGTGAACGACAAGGGGATCGTCCACGACCTGACCTGCCCATATACCCCGCAGCAAAACGGCATGGCAGAGCGGGAGATGAGGACGGTGGTAGAGTCGGTGCGGACAATGCTGCTGCACATGGCGTGCAGCACCACTGGTGGCACCTCGCTCTGCGGCAGGCCGTCTGGGTCCGCAACTGCCTGGAGAGGTCGACGCTGCCACCGGGGACGACGCCGTACCAGCTGCTGACAGGGAAGAAGCCCGACTTGTCGCTGGCGCGGGTGTGGGGCTGCATGGCGCAGTTTCTTGTCCCTGAGCCGCAGCGTGGTGGGAAGCTGAAGCCGAAGGCCAGGTGGGGCCTGCACCTTGGCGTGTCGGCGGCGAGCAAGGGCTGGGAGCTCCTCGACGTCGACACCGACCGAGTGGTCACCACGTCGGACGTGGTGTTCTACGAGGAAATGTCGCTGGCCGAGTGGAAGACTGAGCATGGACCGGTACCCGGCCGCTCGCCGTCCACCTTGCCCTCTGACACCTCGTCGGCGACGCTGCCGCTGCTTGCCGAGGTCGGTGAGCTTGCTACTGAGGACGTCGAGGACGTCCGCTCCTCTACCCCTCTCCCTCTGACTCCTGCCCCTCCCCTCGTGGCCGACCTTCGTGGGCTGACCTCGGTGTCGGCCTTCGGCGATGAGGAAAGTAGTGGGACGCCGCCTTCGGCGCCGGCCAAGTGCATCGCCGGCGGCCGACTTGACGAGCGGCGAATCGACGTGGGATTGCAGTCGACAAGGGAGCAGCAGCCGACAAGGGAGCAGGCTGCCGTGAAGCCGACCACGGAGCAGTCGGCGACCGGGACGTCGGCAGGGGAGCCGACCACAGGGGAGAAGTCGGCTGGGAAGCCGACCACAGTGGAGCAGTCGGCTGGGACGCCGGCTGAGGAGCAGCAGGACGCCGAGGGCAGCGACGACAGTGACGATGGAGGGGACGCCGCGGCGGTCCAGCAGGGACCACGGCGTTCCGGCCGACTTCGAAGGCCGCCTGACTTCTTCGTCCCCGCTGCCTTCACCACGGTGCATGACGTGGACGATGACGACGACCTGCTGTACGACGACGCCGAGGAGGATGAGGAGTTTCCGGAGCTCGACCCCGACATGCTAGCCGACCCCGAGCACCGTTGGGACATCTCGACGATGACGGTGAAGGAGGCGTTGGTGAGCTGGAAGGGCCCGGCGGTGAAGGCCGCCATGGAGGAGGAGATCCGCAGCCTCATCAACATGGGCACTTGGGAGCTGGTCGAACGCCCGCCGGGGGTAAACGTCATGAAGAACCGGTGGGTGTTGACGACGAAGTACCACATTGACGACACCGTCGAACGAGAAAAGGCGAGGCTGGATGTAAAGGGCTTCACACAGGTGTATGGCGCCGACTACGACGAGACGTTCGCGCCGGTGAGCAGCTACGTGACGCTGAGGATTTTCCTCAGCATTGTCGCTGTCCTCGACCTCAACCTGATGCAGCTCGACATGAAGAATGCCTTCCTGCAGAGCAAGCTCGATCGGGTACTGTACATGTCTCAGCCGGACTACTTCAACGACGGAACCGGCCGGGTGTGTAAGCTACTGAAGAGCCTGTACGGGCTGAAGCAGTCGCCGCTGTTGTGGTACTTGGCGCTCAACGATGTGCTGGTCGGCGCCGGGTGGAAGAAGAGCCAGGTCGACGAGGCTCTTTACTGCAAAGTCGGCGAGGGTGAGGTAGTCTGCTGGGTGCTGGTCTACGTCGACGACCTGCTTGCCGCCAGCAGCAGCGCCATGATGCTGACGGAGCTGAGGGAGCTGCTGGAAGCCGCCTTCGAGCTGCGCGAGATCTCGCCGGTTCAGAAGTACCTCGGGCTCGAGATCGTACGCGATAGGTCGGCGGGGAAGCTGTGGCTGCACCAGCAGGGCTACGCCGACAAGCTGCGTTGGCGCTTCCTCGACGGGGAGCAGAACGGGCGCACCCCGAAGACGCCGGTCTCGGTCGGTGCCTACGCCGAGCTCACCTTCGATGACGAGGAGGCGCAGGAACGTCAGGAGGAGGAGTACCGGCAGAAGGTCGGCTCGCTGCAGTTCGCGGCGACGACGACGAGGCCGGACGTCGCCTTCGCATGCAGCAAGCTGGGGAGCGGCCTCACGGTGAGGAGCGACCAGCACTAGCACGAGGTCGATCGCTGCCTCGCCTACCTCGCCAACACACGCGACACCGCCCTGGAGTTCGGCGGTGGACCTCAGTCGCTGGAGCTGGTCGGCTACGTGGACGCCGACGACGCCGGTGACAAGCAGAACAGGATGAGCACGAGCGGCTACGTGTTCGTCTACGGAGGGGCTGCAGTCTCCTGGTCGAGCCAGCGCATCAAGTGCGCGACGCTGTCGTCGACCGAGTCGGAGTACGTGGCGGCCACTGAAGCTGGCAAGGAGGGACGCCGCCTTCGCTTCCTCCTCGCCGAGTTCCAGCAACTCGACGCCGGGAAGCCGACTGTCCTGCGTGTGGACAACAAGTCGGCCATCACGGTTGCCGAGGGCATGGGGTTGATGGGCAACCTCAAGCACATGGAGCGGCGACAGGCCTGGCTGCAGCACATGGTGAGGCGCGGGAAGTTCTCGCTGCAGTACATCCCAACCGCTGAGCAGCCGGCCGACTTCCTGACGAAGGCGCTGCACTATCCGGCCTTCAACCGGTGCTCCGTCGCAATCGGCCAAGTGCGCTTGGCCGACGTGGGCGACGGCGACAACGACGTGCAGTAGTAGGAGCCATGCCCTTTTTGCATGGCTGGTGCGGTGGACGACGTGCTATGTGTTGGGTGCACGTCGACGAGCTAGTCTCCGAACTGTACTGCCGTGTGGGCTGGGTGCCCAAGCGTGAACGCGGCAGGGGAGTGTCAACGGGAGTTGTATGTTGGCCCCGTCCACGCCTGGGCGGAGCCGACTTCGTGGTCGGGTGTAGGGTGCAGCCGACCTGCAGCAGTGGGCGAGTTGGTCGACGAGGTTAGTCGACCTGCACGGGGAGCCACTGCATGGGCGCCGACTTCAGGAGGGCGCCAACTTCGTCTGGTCGACCCGGGACGCCGACCAGACCTTCTGGTCGACCTGGGACGTCGACCAGACCATCCTGGTCGACCTGGGAAGTCGACCAGCCCTTCTGGTCGACCAGGAGTGACGTCGACTTGGAGCTGGTCGACCAGGGAGTAGTGGTCGACCTGAGGAGGTCGACTTGGGGTGGTCGTCGACTTGGGAGGTCGACGGGCACGTGCAAGAGCTGCTGGTCGACGTGGTTGCCCGGTCGACCAGGTTACCTGGGTGACGAAGTGCTGCGGAGAAGTGCGACGGTCGCCCAGGCAAAGGTGGCGAGCACGACCACGGTGGTGGTATCCCGAGGTCGTCGTGGCGGACCAGAGGCAGTCGTCAGCTCGAGGTTGACGTGGAGTGTGCGCTGTGCAGGTGACGGGACTCTGCACGCCAATCAGCTACGCACACCTGCGAGGCGGGTGCACTGCTGTCCTGCGTGAGCAACGCTGGCACGCCGTCAACCTGCGACGTTGGCACGCCGTCGACCTTGCCTTGCTGGAGTGCGGTCGACCAAGTCGTGCTGGAACGCGGTCGACCAAGCTGCGCTGGCAGTTGGCCGACCTGAATGCTTGCTCTGACGTATTCATGCTATGCCAACTTCATTGTACCAATTGTTCTAAACTTTTCCTAGTGAAACTCTTGCCAACTTTCCCCGTGAACTAGCAAGTAGTGTGTGCACAAGGAAAACGACTAAGGAACAGAGAACGCAGAGATCACACGAGCACACGTGCCTAGCCCGTAGCCTAGCTCCCGTTGCTGTAGTTATCTCCGCATTCAGAACACTTGACCTTACCCACACAATACCCCTCTCCCAATCCTTTCACTACTTTATTCCCACCTGATCTTCTCCCCATCGCCGTTGTCAGTGCACAGCTCCTTGGCCGCCCTTTTCTTTTAAAAAGTTTTGAGACATCTCAAAACTCGACCTTTTCTTGAGGGCCCAAAGGGCTTTCCTTTCCCACCTGATCTTCTCCCCATCGCCGTTGTCAGTGCACAGCTCTTTGGCCGCCCTCCTTCCTGGAAAGTTCTGCGAGATGACGGCGGCCGAGGCCCGCACTATGGTGCCTGTGGAGCGATAGTTGCGACACAGCCGCACCTGAGAGGGAGCGGGAGGGGGGAAAGAAGAGGGGGGAGGGAAGTTCTGTGCAATGACAGCAGCAGAGGCGCGCACTATGGTGCCCGTGGAGCGACAGTTGCGGCACAAACGCACCTGGGAGGGAGCGGGAGGGAGGCAGTGCATGGGGAGGGAGGGGGAGCAGTGTCACTCAGAGGCACGAGCACGCAGCAGAGGCCCGCACTATGGTGCCTGTGGAGCGGTAGTTGCGACACAGCCGCACCTGAGAAGGGGTGGAGGCAGTGTAAGGGGACGGGGGAAATTGGATGAGGAGGGAATGCAGTGCGTGGTGTATGGTGCTGCTCAGATGCACATGTGATGCGCGCACTACTTGTGCACTCACCTGGCTGTGCTCTCACCTCAGTGTGGTCCGGGAACTGCTCTTGAAACATGTTAAAACGAGGCTGCATTGGCGCCGTTGAAGTGAATATAGACTGCACAGGAACGCATGTGGTTGTACCTCCCTATGATCTCACCTAGCCATGCTCTCACCTCTGTGTGGTCGGGGAACTGCTCTTGGAACATGTCGAACGAGGCTGCATTGATTATTGAGTCAACTCCGATATTCACCCCACTGCTGCTCTCACCTCTGTGTGGTCAGGGTACTGCTCTCGGAACATGTCAAACGAGGCTGCACTGATTGTTGAGTCAACTCCGATATTCACCCCACTGCTGCTCTCACCTCTGTGTGGTCAGGGAACTGCTCTCGGAACATGTCAAACGAGGCTGCCCTGATTATTGAGTCAACTCCGATATTCACCCCACTGCTGCTCTCACCTCTGTGTGGTCAGGGAACTGCTCTCGGAACATGTCGAACGAGGCTGCATTGGCTCCATTGAAGCTGAATATGGACTGCACAGGAGCGCAGGGTGTGGGAGACGTTTGCCAACACGGCAACGAGGCACAGAAATGCGTGCGGATGGAACATGAGCACTCAGCACACTGCGAGAAAGAGAATGAGGCTGCATTGGCTCCATTGAAGCTGAATATCGACTGCATGGGAACGCAGGGCAGGAGAGACGTTTGCCAACACGGCAACGAGGCACAGACGCGCATGTGGATAGAACATACTGTGAGGAAGAGGGCGAGGCACAGCTGTAGACCACAGGAACGTAGGGTGTGCAACACGATTTCCCAACACCTCCCACCCCGACCTGGTCATTCCCCCATTCGTTACATCTGGTCGTCATTCCCCTCACTCCCACCTGATCATCGTCCCCCACAACAGTGACGCACCCGTGGGGGCCACAGAGAGCCATGACGAACGCAAACTGGATGTGCGAGGTGTCTTGGAACTCGTCTGGGCTGAATCACCTACAATAGTCCCTCCCCGGGAAACCGGGAAACCGGGAAACCGGGAAACCGGGATACCGGGATACCGGGATACCGGGATACCGAGAAACCGGGAAACCGGGAAACCGGGAAACCGGGATACCGGGATACCGGGATACCGGGAAACCGGGATACCGGGAAACCGGGATACCGGGATACCGGGAAACCGGGATACCGGGATACCGGGATACCGGGAAACCGGGAAACCGGGAAACCGGGAAACCGGGAAACCCGGAAACCGGATACCGGGATACCGTGATACCGGGATACCGGGATACCGGAAAACCGGGATACCGGGATACCGGGATACCGGGATACCGGGATACCGGGATACCGGGATACTGGGAAACCGGGAAACCGGGAAACCGGGATACCGGGATACCGGGATACCGGGAAACCGGGAAACCGGGAAACCGGGAAACCGGGAAACCGGGAAACCGGGAAACCGGGAAACCGGGAAACCGGGAAACCGGGATTCCGGGATACCAGGATACCGGGATACCGGGATACCGGGATACCGGGATACCGGGATACCGGGATACCCGGAAACCAGGATACCGTGATACCGGGATACCGAGATACCGGGAAACCGGGAAACCGGGAAACCGGGAAACTGGGAAACCGGGATACCGGGATACCGGGATACTGGGAAACCTGGATACCGGGATACCGGGATACCGGGATTCCGGGAAACCGGGAAACCGGGATACCGGGATACCGGGATACCGGGATACCGGGAAACCGGGAAACCGGGATACCGGGATACCGGGATACCGGGATACCGGGATACCGGGAAACCGGGAAACCGGGAAACCGGGAAACCGGGAAACCGGGAAACCGGGAAATCGGGATTCCGGGATACCAGGATACCGGGAAACCGGGAAACCGGGAAACCGGGAAACCGGGAAACCGGGAAACCGGGATACCGGGATACCGGGAAACCGGGAAACCGGGAAACCGGGAACCGGGGATACCGGGAAACCGGGAAACCGGGAAATCGGGAAATCGGGAAACCGGGAAACCGGGAAACCGGGAAACCGGGATATCGGGATACCCGACTGGGATACCAGGATTCCGGGAAGCTGGATACCGGGATACCGGGATACCGGGATACCGGAATTCCGGGAAACCGGGATACCGGGATACCGGGAAACCGGGATACCGGGATACCGGGATACCGGGATACCGGGAAACCGGGAAACCGGGAAACCGGGAAACCGGGAAACCGGGAAACCAGGAAATTGGGATTCCGGGATACCAGGATACCGGGATACCGGGATACCGGGAAACCGGGAAACCGGGAAACCGGGAAACCGGGAAACTGGGAAACCGGGATACCGGGATACCGGGAAACCGGGAAACCGGGAAACCGGGAACCCGGGATACCGGGAAACCGGGAAACCGGGAAATCGGGAAACCGGGATATCGGGATACCCGACTGGGATACCAGGATTCCGGGAAGCTGGATACCGGGATACCGGGATACCGGGATACCGGAATTCCGGGAAACCGGGATACCGGGATACCGGGAAACCGGGATACCGGGATACCGGGATACCGGGATACCGGGAAACCGGGAAACCGGGAAACCGGGAAACCGGGAAACCGGGAAACCAGGAAATCGGGATTCCGGGATACCAGGATACCGGGATACCGGGATACCGGGAAACCGGGAAACCGGGAAACCGGGAAACCGGGAAACTGGGAAACCGGGATACCGGGATACCGGGAAACCGGGAAACCGGGAAACCGGGAACCCGGGATACCGGGAAACCGGGAAACCGGGAAATCGGGAAACCGGGATATCGGGATACCCGACTGGGATACCAGGATTCCGGGAAGCTGGATACCGGGATACCGGGATATCGCGATACCGGAATTCCGGGAAACCGGGATACCTGGATACCGGGAAACCGGGATACCGGGATACCGGGATACCGGGATACCGGGAAACCGGGAAACCGGGAAACCGGGAAACCGGGAAACCGGGAAATCGGGATTCCGGGATACCAGGATACCGGGATACCGGGATACCGGGATACCGGGAAACCGGGAAACCGGGAAACTGGGAAACCGGGATACCGGGATACCGGGAAACCGGGAAACCGGGAACCCGGGATACCGGGAAACCGGGAAACCGGGAAATCGGGAAATCGGGAAACCGGGAAACCGGGAAACCGGGAAACCGGGATATCGGGATACCCGACTGGGATACCAGGATACCGGGAAGCTGGATACCGGGATACCGGGATACCGGGATACCGGAATTCCGGGAAACCGGGATACCGGGATACCAGGATACCGGGATACCGGGATACCGGGATACCCGGATACCGGTATACCGGGATACCGAGAAACCGGGAAACCGGGAAACCGGGAAACCTGGATACCGGGAAATCGGGAAACCGGGAAACCGGGAAACCTGGATACCGAGAAATCGGGAAACCGTGAAACCGGGATACCCGGATACCGGTATACCGGGATACCGAGAAACCGGGAAAGCGGGAAACCTGGATACCGGGATACCGGGATACCGGGAAACCGGGATACCGGGAAAGCGGGATACCGGGATACCGGTAAACCGGGATACCGGGATACCGGGATACCGGGAAACCGGGAAACCGGGAAACCGGGAAACCGGGAATCCGGGAAACCGGGAAACCGGGAAACCGGGAAACCGGGAAACCGGGAAACCGGGAAACCGGGATTCCGGGATACCAGGATACCGGGATACCGGGATACCGGGATACCGGGATACCGGGATACCCGGAAACCGGGATACCGTGATACCGTGATACCGAGATACCGGGAAACCGGGAAACCGGGAAACCGGGAAACCAGGAAACCGGGATACCGGGATACCGGGATACCGGGATACTGGGAAACCTGGATACCGGGATACCGGGATACCGGGATTCCGGGAAACCGGGAAACCGGGATACCGGGATACCGGGATACCGGGATACCGGGAAACCGGGAAACCGGGAAACCGGGATACCGGGATACCGGGATACCGGGATACCGGGAAACCGGGAAACCGGGAAACCGGGAAACCGGGAAACCGGGAAACCGGGAAATCGGGATTCCGGGATACCAGGATACCGGGAAACCGGGAAACCGGGAAACCGGGAAACCGGGAAACCGGGAAACCGGGATACCGGGATACCGGGAAACCGGGAAACCGGGAAACCGGGAACCCGGGATACCGGGAAACCGGGAAACCGGGAAATCGGGAAATCGGGAAACCGGGAAACCGGGAAAGCGGGATATCGGGATACCCGACTGGGATACCAGGATTCCGGGAAGCTGGATACCGGGATACCGGGATACCGGGATACCGGAATTCCGGGAAACCGGGATACCGGGATACCGGGAAACCGGGATACCGGGATACCGGGATACCGGGATACCGGGAAACCGGGAAACCGGGAAACCGGGAAACCGGGAAACCGGGAAACCAGGAAATCGGGATTCCGGGATACCAGGATACCGGGATACCGGGATACCGGGAAACCGGGAAACCGGGAAACCGGGAAACCGGGAAACTGGGAAACCGGGATACCGGGATACCGGGAAACCGGGAAACCGGGAAACCGGGAACCCGGGATACCGGGAAACCGGGAAACCGGGAAATCGGGAAACCGGGATATCGGGATACCCGACTGGGATACCAGGATTCCGGGAAGCTGGATACCGGGATACCGGGATACCGGAATTCCGGGAAACCGGGATACCGGGATACCGGGAAACCGGGATACCGGGATACCGGGATACCGGGATACCGGGAAACCGGGAAACCGGGAAACCGGGAAACCGGGAAACCGGGAAACCAGGAAATCGGGATTCCGGGATACCAGGATACCGGGATACCGGGATACCGGGAAACCGGGAAACCGGGAAACCGGGAAACCGGGAAACTGGGAAACCGGGATACCGGGATACCAGGAAACCGGGAAACCGGGAAACCGGGAACCCGGGATACCGGGAAACCGGGAAACCGGGAAATCGGGAAACCGGGATATCGGGATACCCGACTGGGATACCAGGATTCCGGGAAGCTGGATACCGGGATACCGGGATACCGGGATACCGGAATTCCGGGAAACCGGGATACCTGGATACCGGGAAACCGGGATACCGGGATACCGGGATACCGGGATACCGGGAAACCGGGAAACCGGGAAACCGGGAAACCGGGAAATCGGGATTCCGGGATACCAGGATACCGGGATACCGGGATACCGGGATACCGGGAAACCGGGAAACCGGGAAACTGGGAAACCGGGATACCGGGATACCGGGAAACCGGGAAACCGGGAACCCGGGATACCGGGAAACCGGGAAACCGGGAAATCGGGAAATCGGGAAACCGGGAAACCGGGAAACCGGGAAACCGGGATATCGGGATACCCGACTGGGATACCAGGATACCGGGAAGCTGGATACCAGGATACCGGGATACCGGGATACCGGAATTCCGGGAAAGCGGGATACCGGGATACCAGGATACCGGGATACCGGGATACCGGGATACCGGGAAGCCGGGAAACCGGGAAACCGGGAAACCGGGAAACCGGGAAGCCGGGATACCGGGAAACCGGGACACGGGGAAACGGGGAAAGGGAAAAACCGGGAAACCGGGATACCGGGATACCGGGATACCAGGATACCGGGATACCGGGAAACCGGGAAACCGGGAAACCGGGAAACCGGGAAACCGGGATACCAGGATACCGGGAAACCCGGATAACGGGATACCCGGAGACCGGGATACCGGGATACCGAGATTCCGGGATACGGGGATACCGGGAAACCAAGAAACCGGGAAACCGGGAAACCGGGATACCGGGAAACCGGGATACCGGGAAACCGGGAAACCGGGAAACCGGGAAATTGGGAAAGTGGGAAACCGGGATACCGGGAAACCGGGAAACCGGGATTAGGGATGAGCAAGTGGCGAACACGAACGTGTTCGTGTTCGCCCCTACAGGAACACCTTCGTTTGCCGAACTGAACACTGTTCGGTTCGGCGAACACTTTGAGCAAAAAATTGTGTTCGCCGTTCGCCTGTGAAGGCGTGTTCGGGCGAACCTCGAACACTGTTCGTGTTTGTCGCGGGCAAATCGCAGCAGCGGCCCGAACACGAACGTGTTCGGGCGAACATCGAACACTGTTCGGCGAACATTTTAAGCCAAAAAAAAAAAACCTGTTCGGTTCACTTCGAACACGTTCGAGGCGAACCGAACAGGTGTTCTTGTTTTTTCTCAACCCTAACCGGGATACCCGACCGAGATACCGGGATATCGGGATACCGGGATACCGGGATACCGAGAAACCGGGATACCGGGAAACCGGGAAACCGGGATACCGGGATACCGGGATACCGGGAAACCGGGAAACCGGGAAACTGGGATACCGGGATATCGGGATACCGGGATACCGGGATACCGAGAAACCGGGATACCGGGAAACCGGGAAACCGGGATACCGGGATACCGGGATACCGGGAAACCGGGAAACCGGGAAACTGGGATACCAGGACACCGGGATACCGGGATACCGGGATACTGGGAAACCGGGAAACCGGGAAACCGGGAAACCGGGATACCGGGATACAGGGATACCGGGATACCGGTAAACCTGGATACCGGGATACCGGGAAACCGGAAATACCGGGATACCGGGATACCGGGATACCGGGATACCGGGAAACCGGGAAACCGGGAAACCGGGAAACCGGGATACCGGGAAACTGGGGTACCTGGATACCGGGATACCGGGATACTGGGAAACCGGGAAACCGGGAAACCGGGATACCGGGATACCGGGAAACCGAAAAAACCGGGATACCGGGAATCCGGGAAACCGGGAAACCGGGAAACCGGGATACCGGGATACCGGGATACCGGGAAACCGGGAAACCGGGAAACCGAGAAACCGGGAAACCGGGAAACCTGGATACCGGGATACCGGGATATGGGGATACCGGGAAACCGGGAAACCGGGATACCGGGAAATCGGGATACCGGGAAACCGGGATACCGGGATACCGGGAAACCGGGATACCGGGAAACCGGGAAACCGGGAAACCGGGATACCGGGAAACCGAAAAAACCGGAAAACTGGGAATCCGGGAAACCGGGAAACCGGGATACCGGGATACCGGGATACCGGGATACCGACACCCCACCCCACAACAGTGATGCGCCCGTGAGAGTGACAGAGAGCCTTAACGAACGCGAACTGGATGTGTGTGCTTGTGTGGGCTGCTGGTCCCTCCCCTTCTCACAAACCTCAGGAACCAACCGGTCATCACACCCCTCAACCCAACCGCACCTGGGCTGCTGGTCCCTCCCCTTTGCACTCACCTTAGGAACCGGTCATCACACCCCTCAACCGCACCTGGTCGTTGTCCCCCACAACAGTGATGCGCCCATGAGTGCCGCAGAGAGCCTTGACGAACGCGAACTGAATGCGCGAGGTGTCTTGGAACTCGTCTGGGCCACTGGTCCTTCCCTTTGCACTCACCTTAGGAACCGGTCATCACACCCCTCAACCGCACCTGGTCGTCGTCACCCACAACAGTGATGCGCCCGTGTGAGTGACAGTGAGCCTTGACGACCGATTCCCATCCCACGCACCCCTTCTCATTGCCCCTGATCATTGTGCCCTCACACCCACCTGGTCGTCGTCCCCCACAACAGTGATGCGCCCGTGAGTGCTGCAGAGAGCCTTGACGAACGCGAATTGGATGTGGGAGGTGTCTGGGACCATCACCCCCCATACATTTCACCTGGTCAACAACCCCCCTCACACCCACCTGGTCAACAACCCCCCTCACACCCACCTGGTCATCAACCCCCCTCACACCCACCTGGTCATCAACCCCCCTCGCACCCACCTGGTCATCAACCCCCCTCACACCCACCTGGTCATCAACCCCCCTCACACCCACCTGGTCGTCATCCCCCACAACGGTGATGCGCCCATGTGTGCCGCAGAGAGCCTTGACGAACGAAAACTGGATTCGCGAGGTGTCTTGAAACTCGTCCACCAGTACGTGCGTCCATGCTGCCGTGCACTCCTGCAGCACTGCAGCAGCATAGGAGGGGCGAAAGAGGGGAGAAAAAGGGATGCACGGTGTGGCTGCAACCCTCGTGGACGCAGAAAGGATGCGGGAGCTGTCTTGAAACTCGTCCACCAGCACGCGCGTCCATCCTGACGACATGCACTCCTGCAGCACTGGAATAGAGGAGGAGAAAGTGGTGCAAGGGAGTGATTGCTGCAGGTGAAACTGGTCGAGGTGTCTTGAAACTCGTCCACCAGTACGCGCGTCCATGCTGACGACGTGCATTCCTGCAGCACTGCAGCAGCAGTGTGTTAGGGGAGAAATGGAGGTATTGAGAGGTGCAACGCGGTTGGTTAAGGTGTATTGAAACTCGCCCACCAGTACGTGCGACCATACTAACATAAGTTCCACAAGCATTGCACACGGGACAGGAGAAAAGGGCGAGGAAAAAGAGTGGATGATGATCCGCATCATCACTGCTTGAAAATACGATTATCGGCATCTCGTCATTCATACACCCACTAATAATCAGGTGACTTCTGAGTCGACTCAAAAGTCACATAGTCTGCAGCATCACTGCTTGAGAGTAGGATCATCTTCAGTGATCACCTTCATTCATACCCATACACCCACTAATAATCAGCATCAGTGCCTTTCCATGAACCAGCATGCAACTGAAACGCACCATCGCTGTGCTGTGCGAGTAGCATGGCGGAGAGCAGGACGAAGTCGTGATAGTCCACTGCACGGCACTGCATGCATGGTAGCTAGCTAGCAGGGCCACCCCAGGGCCACCCCAGGGCCACCCCAGGAACCAGCACTCACCATCAGTGTGCTTCGTGAGCGGCATGACGGAGAGCGGGATGAAGTCGTGACAGTCCACCGAACATCACTGCATGCAACGTAGCTAGCAGAGCCACCCCAGGAACCAGCACTCACCATCACTGTGCTTCGTGAGCAGCATGGTGGAGAGCAGGATGAGGTCGTGATAGTCCACTCCGCCGCATTGCTTTGCTTTGCATGGTCGCAACACCACCCCAGTAACCAGCATGCAACCAGCACTCACCGTCAGCATGCTGTGTGAGCAGCATGGTTGATAGTAGGATGAAGTCATGATAGTCCACCGCATTGCATTTCTCCAGCACAGATGCATATGCTCGCAAGACACGGGCCTGGGAGAAGGGAAGGTAAAAGGCAGGTAAGCGGAGAGAGGGGTACCAGCATTCCATCCAATCCCACCACGGCATTGCAATGCAATGGACACACGCTGCCTGGAGCACAGCACAATACACGTGCCTAAAAGGAGGGAAGGAGAAGGGGAGGTAACGGGGAGGAAGGGGCGCAATCAGTCCAGTCCCACCACAGCATTGCAATGCGATGGACACACACTGCCTGGAGCAGCAGACATGCATCTACATGCAATGCAAGAATCGTGCTTGGGAGGAGAGGAGAGAGGGGAATCAAGCAGGTGAAGGGGAAAGAGGGCGCTATCCTGAAAATCGACAAAGTGTTGAAAGGACCAGAAGCCACCAGAGCATGGTGAGAGATAAAGCCTTACTGCTTCCTGGTTGCCCCGAGCTTCAAAAGTCTCTGCTGTCTGACCTGCTGCCTTGGCCTGTGGTAGTGGGAGAGGGGCCACAGGGTGGGGGCGTGAGAATAAGTGAGGTGCAAGCGGCATGTCATGTGGAACCGAACGGGATGGAGAGAAACAGGAATGCGCTTGATACGTTAACTTTTGGCTGGATCGTGTGCCATTGGGTGGCGTGGGCAGTGGGGTGAGGATGTGGGAGCATGTTGGATGGAAGGTTAGGATCATGCAACACATCATGAGGAGCTGAACAGGACAGAGACCACAATGGACGGGAGATGTTAGCTTCTAATTCCATTGCATGAGTAACAGATAGAGGGGAGGGCAGAACTTCCACGTACTTACTCAAAACTCCCTTGTCACTCACCCTCACAACGAACTTGACCCATTTCGCTGCTGCTGCTCGGCTCCTCTTCAACTCCTCCACCTCCCTCCCCACCCTCTCCTCCACACTCTCTCCCTTGTTCCCTCCTCCCTTCCCTTCTTCATTCTCCTTATTCCCCTTCTCTGCCCACCTGCCTGACCCTCCCACGCCCGCTGTCCCTGCACCTCCAGCTGCTGCAAATGCCCTTCCATTACAGTCTCGACCAACTTGCCTGTCCTCTCTCCGCTGCTTCCACACACCCCACTCTCCCCTGCTCGCTTCTCCCTCCCTCTTCTCCCCTTTCTCCCCTTTCTCGCCCTTCTCGCCCTTCTCCCCTATCCCGACGCTATCCCCCCCATCCCCCAGCGCCAGTCGAACAGCCTCTGTAATGGCTCTCCGCTGCTGCTTGTGCCCAAACACAAGGAAATCCGCCGTGCGCCCAAACCTGGGACAGGAGGAAAGGGGAGGAAATGCGTGGGCAGCAGGTGGATAAGTGAGTGATGGCTCTCCGCTGCTGCTTGTGCCCAAACACAAGGAAATCCACTGTGCGCCCAAACCTGGGAGAACATGAGTGAGCAGAGGGGGTTGGTTAGTGGGTGCAGACAGGAGGAGAGGGCGGGAAAGGCAGAGACAATAGGTGGGCTACTGAGGAGAGATGGCTTCCTCTGCTGCTTGTGCCCAAGCACAAGAAAATCCGCTGTGCGCCCAAACCTGAGAGGGGAGTGGGTGTGAAGAGGGGGTTGATGGTGGGCGGAAGCAAGACACCTTTACCTCAGAACTCACTTTCCTGTGATGGTTTTGAACAGATGCAAGCACAGGGAGTTGACGAATTCAACCTCTCGCGCTCACCGTCCCCGACCATATTGCACCGCACCCTTTTTCGAACACGCCTCAACCTTAAAGCAAAGAACAGAACTCACTTGTCAGCATGGCTCCTGCACAGCTGCAGGCACAGCGAATGGAAAGTGCTCACTGCCACTTCCCCTGTCACTCCCTCCTCTCCCTCCTCCTCCTTCCCTTCCTTCCCTTCCTTCCCTCCGTTCTCTTCCTCATCCTCCTTTCCTTCCTTGTCAACCATACTTCTCGCCCCTCCCTTGTTTTCTCTCCTTCCTTTCCCAGTTGCCCCAGTCTTCTTGCCTGCCGACCGCCTCCCTTGGCTGGCCAGCACGCGTTCACGCATCTCATTGGCTGCTGCTGTGGTGAAGGTCATTGCGAGGATGCGATTGGCTGGCACACCCACGTGGAGGAGATGAAGAATTCGAGCTACCATGGTCGAGGTCTGGAGGAAGGGGGGAATGAGCGAGAAAGGGGGGAAAGGGAGAGAGGAGGTGGAGGAGGGGAAGAGAGAGAGGAAGTGGAAGGAGTTTTGAGGTGCCTGCTGATAACGACACACCCACATGGTGCAGATGCAGGATGCGAGCTACCATGGTCGAGGTCTGGTGGAGGGGGCGAAAAAGCAAGGGGGAATGGGGGGAAGGGGCGATGGAGCGACTAAGGGGGAGGGAGAGGGAGAACAGGTGGGAGAGGAGAGAGGAGAGTGGACGGAGTTTTGAGGTGCCTGCTGATAGCAGCACACCCGCATGGTGCAGATGCAGGATGCGAGCGACTATGGTTGAGGTCTGGTGGAGGGAGGGGGAGGGAGAGGGAGAAGAGGGGGGATAGGAATGCGAGGCACCACACCAAACCACACAGGACTATCCTTGCCGCTTCTCAGCCCTGCGAGCACCAGGAGTGGTCGGTCCACATCTGCTGCTGCTGCAGGGCCACACTGCACCATACTACACCACACCACACCACGCCAAACCACACCATACCACACCACACAGGACTAACCTTGCCGCTTCCTGGTCCTGCGAGCACCAGCAGTGGTCGGTCCACATCTGCTGCTGCTGCTGCCCTCTGCTCTGCATTCAACCGCGCCAAGTAAGGCTCCTCCTTGCTTACACACGCTCCTGCTTCTGCTACTTCTGCTACAACTTGTGCCACTGCCTCCACTTCTCTTGCTGCTATTGCTGCTGGTGCAGCTTCTGTTTCTTCCACTTCTGCAGCTACTTTTCCTGCATCTCCAACTTCTTCTGCTGCTCCTGCTTCTGCAACTACCACATTGCCTGCTGCTCCTCCACCCTCGCCTCCTCCTACGTCTTCAGAATCTCTATCTAGACATCCCTTCCCTTCACCCCACTCGCTACCTACTTTCACATGCCCCATTGCCTCACCATATTCCCGCATGCTCGTTTCTCCCACCCCAGTGCGCCCATCCGAGTCAAGCCTTGGCTTCACCACTCTCCACCCCAGAGAACCCAGTGCAGATTCTGTTGCAGCTGCTTCTGTTGCCGCCTCTCTAGCTGCTGTTGTTTCTGCTGCCGCTGTTGCCTCTTCTGGTGCTGCCAATGCTGCTGCTGCTGCCACCTCTGCCATGCCTTCCGCCTGCACTGGTTGCACGCTTGGACATATCCCTGTGCAATTCCCTACTTGCCCCTCCCCATCATCACCTGCCGCAATCTCTGCTCTGCTCGTGCTGTACGCCCAACTCCCCCCAGGTTCTTTTTCAGGTGTTTCAAACAGACGGCATCCTGGGCCTAAGTCAGAGCCCAGATGCCGCCTCAAGGCCCAAGCACCCTGCCCCTCCAAAGAGATGCCGGCAGCAGAAGCATCAGGGCATGCGCTTCTGGCATCCAACAAGCCTCTACTTCCTGCAACGTAACCTCCACTTGTATATGAACCGCACACTGAACTTGCTGCCGCTGATCCGGCTGGTACTGGAGCTGCTTGTACCGAGGATGCAGGTGCCACGTTGGGAGGAAAGGGGCGAATAGGGGTTGGTGTGGCTGGTGTGGAACGCTGAAGACCAACAGCAGTTGTTGCCTGTTCTCGTTGAGGAGAACGTGTGGCTACGTGCTTCTGCGGTATCCCAGCTTGCCTGAGACATTCCTGCTCTGGAGGGGCTGCTGCATGTAATGCATGTGTAGGTGTACTGTCACTCACAGGAGTGGTGAATCTGGGGGCAACTGATGGGGCAAAGTGGCGGTGTGAAGGGGCAGGCGGCATGTGCTGGATGGTAGTGGTTGGTGATGGAACGTACATCGATGGAGGGGTCACTGGTGACATGTGGCGTGATGTGATCGGACCAAAGGCAGGCACCGCAGGAGTATGCGGGGACATGCCATGTGCTGATGACATGTCGTGTTTATGCGATGACATGTCAGCTCCGTGTGCTGACGTGGCTGGAAACGGTTCGGCTGCTGACGTGTTAGACTTGCTGAATGGACGTCTGGGAGATGCGCTGTTGGGAGGTGGCATGGACTTAGGGAGTGGAACGATGGGAGGAGGAGGCATGGCTTCTCTGCTCGTCCCTTCTCCATCCTCCCTTCCTTGCTGCAATTTCGCAGCGCCCACAAATACGGCAGCACAACTCACAGCAGCCACAACGGAAGGAGCAGCAAACACACCAGCAGAAGCAGAAACACCTTCATTCCCACCAGTGACAGCAGTGTGGCCAGCAGCAGCACCAGCAGCGCTCGCAGCAGCTTCTGCTGCAGCTAACGCTTGCTCCGCTGCCTCCATCCATTCAGCATCGATCTCGTCTGCTTCTGATGAGTCAGCAGCATCAACCTTATCCGTTCGTGCTGACTCATCAACATACTCCGACGCCTCTCCAGGGAGCAGGATTCCTCCAGCAGCAGTAGTAGCATCTTCAGACTTTGGCTTATCAAGATTACTGCTCATAGAATCGGCGTTTCTTGGCAAATGAGTACCTCCATGCGACCTGAATCCGCATTGCATCCCACCATCTGTTCCTGAAGCGTCAGCAGCATTCAATCCGACATTTTCGACGGATTTCAAATCGTCAAACGACTTTAGGTCTCCTGGCGATTTCAGAGCTCCGGGCGTTTTGCCAGGTGACCCACACGGGGAGCGGATGGTGGGGGAAGGGGACGCGGAACGAGCCTGCTTCAACGGCGGAGATTCAGGCTCAGCAAGCCACGTGTCGAGCATCTGAAGCGAGACGCGTCCTCTTTTGAAAGCTCCTAGCCGTCTCTTCTGGCTCTGCTGCTGCTGCTGCTGCTTGTGCTGCTGCTGGGGATTCTGATGCGTGCTGCTATGGATTCGGCCGTCAGTCCTCGTAGCAATGTCTACACAGATCGGCGAAGCACAGAATCCATCATCGACGTAGCGCAATGAGCGAGAGGATGCATCCGAAGCGCCGAAAGGACTATTTGGGCGACGCGGCTCCTCCGACTCGCGTGAGACACGGCGACAATCTGGACGGACGTTTCCGCGTTCGGCGCCGTCGAAACCGCTGGGAGTCGCGTCGCGTAGCGGAAGCGAGGAATTTCCACGGAAACTGCTGGGATTCGCGTCGAAACCGCTAGGAATCGCGTCGCGTAGTGGAAGCGAAAAAAATCCGTGCGGTAAGGAGAAACGTTTCTCGTCCTCCTGCTTGGTTCCGTCGTCCCGTAACGGATAATCATGATTATAATTATTGCGAGGGGATGGAGTCTCTAGGCACCCGTCGGACGGATTTCGGGTCGTTACGAGATTGCAGAATCTACTACTTCTCTGGTCCTCTTGTCGTCCATCCTGCTCCCTACTCCTGTCCGCAACTGGCTGTCGTCCCGCATTACACGGACGCATCGGCCATCTTCCCGCAGAGCATCTCTCCTTCGATCGATCATGACCAAATCCATCCATCGCCGAAAGCTACCTCAAATTCCTGAGTACATAACTGGTCATATCGATCAAGTCTACAAGTACCACTCTAAGCTGCTTCATAACCCGGACAATCTCGACTTGGGATTTAGAATGGTCAGACACAAATGATGACACAGAATCACCTGAATGTGACGAACAATGCGTTCAATGATGAAAGAAAAACAATGAAGCTTCACGCTGACGCTGAGAGTAGCTGACAGACCAACAGCCCAGTGCCATCCCGATTTTCGAGAAGCATACGATTTCCCAAGGTTTCCAAGTTCACAGACCAGCCAATATCGAGGATTAGTTGCTTGTCACTCATTGTACCAGCATATTTTCTCAACAAGTGCACTGGAAACAAGCCTCCACTAATACATATCTCAAACAGCATTTGCGTGCATTGTTGTGCAGCATTCGCACGATCAGTGAGATATCAGTAATAACAAATGGTAGAGTCGGTACCCGGCAACTTTTAAATCAACACTGTCAGATCAGAGGTGCACTTGAGATTCCTGATTGATCCTTGGGAATGGTTACAGGCACGTTGATTTATGGGCGCACTCACCCACTACACAAACAAGTCCAGTGGTTAGTGGCTAGGATTCTGACATGGTATCAAAGCAAAGGTTTCAGACATGTTTGCACTTCGGGCATCACAGTGCGGGGGGGTGTCAGAGGTGCACTTGAGATTCCCGAATGATCCTAAGGAAGGGTTACATGCACGTTGGCTTCGGGGGTTATGGGCGCACTCACCCGTTACAACAATCAAGCCATTTTATCCCACAAGTTAGTGGCTGGGATTCAGACAAACAATACCTAAGGAATCAAAACACACACTGGGCATAATGTACAATCAGAGTGGACAAACCCTCCTCTTCAAGCACTCAAGACAAAAACTACCAATACTATATTCAACAAGCATGGCTTAGTTTGCACATACCATATATGCCAATGCATTCATCCACAAGCATACATACATCCACAAAGGCATGTGCACATGCATGAACATGCGCACACATGCACAAGAACCGTGCAAGGGCACATAAACATGTGCATTGCGCAAGCATATGTATACACACATAATAACTTTGTTGCAAAGGACCGCTCAAACCAGAACCAGAAAACGAGCAAGTCAACTAGTAGGCTGTTTCAGCCAGAGATTTAAATTAGATCATGTAGAACGCGAACAGCAGGCGATCAACATACGGCGCTGCTAGAACTTCACCAGGAGACGTATCGTTGGCGCCTAGCGAAGTACATATGTAGACTGCAACTGTGATCAACACCCGTTACCCTTGAAATCGCTGCCAATGACGCGACCCGCCCTACGGGTTACCTGTTGGAGTTATCCATAAATGTCACTGTGATGCCACGAATGAATTCAAGAACTTGGAGTAGACAATAAGGGGTACAAGGAGGAACCCAAAACCATCGGATGATCAGGCACAACCAATAGTGCAAGCAAGCAAGGGCACAGCTACCCATAAGCCAAACTTCTTTTCATTGCACCGTCAGGAGACGTCATACACGTGTCAGTCGTGTCAGATTTATATGACATACTTACTGTAGGCTATAGTGGGGTAACACATATGGGGTACAGATTTCTAGGGTTTGCACTTGTACCCAACTTTCACTTAGTCATTTTCATTCTCGTTCAGTTCCTCATGGTATCGAGCAGGTTCCCCTGTGGGAACTGTTCCTAGGGCCCACCACCTTTTTTTTTTCCTGCCCGGAGCGCGCTCTACACTGCCGGAGTCGCGCTCCCCTCTCACGGCCCCGTCGAGCCGCCCTTTCGACCCTGTCGCGTCGCGCTTGCGGCCCCGTCGCGTCGCCCTCGCGGCCCCTTCACGTCGCGCCGCCCTAGCGGCCGCGTCACGCCGCCCTCGCGGCCCCAATCCGCGGCCCTCGCGGCTCGGTCGCGTCGCGCCGCCCTCGCGACCCCCCCCCTCCTAGACGCCCTAGCGGCCCCGTCGCCTACCCCTGCGGCCCCGTTACCTACCCCTGCGGCCCCGGCGCCGCCTCTGCTGGCCCCGTCGCCTGCCCCTGCGGCCCCGGCGCCGCCCTTCCCTGCCTCGGCGCCGCCTCTGCTGGCCCCGTCGCCTACCCCTGCGGCCCCGGAGCTGCCCTTCCCGGCCCCGGCGCCGCCTCTACTGGCCCCGACGCCGCTCCACCCGGCCCCGACGCCGCTCCACCCGGCCTCGCTGCCGCTCCACCCGGCCCCGACGCCACTCCACCCGGCCCCGACGCCGCTCCACCCGGCCCCGACGCCGCTCCGCCCGGCTCCGCCGCCGCTCCACCCGGCCCCGACGCCGCTCCACCCGGCCCCGCCGCCGCTCCACCCGGCCCCGCCGCCGTCCCCACGCGGCCCCACCGTCACCACCGAGCCACCTGCGCCGCCGAGCTGCTGCCGAGCCGCCCGATCCACCCGAGCCGCCCGAGCCGCCGGGTCGCCGAGCCGCCGAGCTGCAGTTGCTGCCGAGCCGCCCGATCCACCCGAGCCGCCCGGGCCGCCG